GCGGGGTGCGCAGCTCTCGCGGGGGTGCGTAGCGGCCTGCGCCGCGCGTGCGAGGTCATCCGCGGCGCTGTTGCGCAGAAGCGCGTGGCTGGGGGACGTGCCTCGGGGGCGGGCGGGGCGGAAGCGGGAGCGGTGTTGGCGGGCGGTTGGTGCGGCAACGTGGCGGCGGGGGGCAGGAGGCGCGGACAAACTGCGAGGGACAGGCGAGCGGTGAATTCAGCGCCGCCTTGATTTTCGCGCAAGGTGACGCGACGCGACGCGACGCGCCGCGCTGCTGCCGCATGCTCGCGGCGCGCGGCGAGCGACCAACGTTCCGCGCCGCGCCGCGCTGCGAGACGCCTCCGCCCAATCACTTCGGCCGCCGAGCCCCCGCATCCCGCGTCTACACGCGCCGCCCCGCGAGGACGTGTCCGACCATCGCCGAATTCTCGCGCCCTACCGTGCACTCCGCTCCGTGCCAGTGCTCCCGAAATCTGCCCCCGCTTGCTACGCTCGCGCCGATAGATGGCGCCGCCAGACACCCCCGCTCCCCTGCAACCACCGCTAACAGATCCGCACTGTAAACATTCGTCTGACCAGACCTGTATAAAACCTAAGCTACTCACCATCCTTTTATACTTCGGCAACACAGCCCACTTGCATAGCAAAGCACACGATGACCAGCCCCCGCATCCCGACGCTGCTGTTGCTTCTTTGCGTCCTCTCTCCCCTCCTTCCCTCCGCGCATGCCGCGGGCAGGCGCTTCCGCAACATCGCCACAGACAAAAGCCGCGGCCTCAAGTACAGCCGCACACCGTCGCGCACGCGCCCGGCATGGTTCCGCTTGCTCAAGTCTTCGCTCACCGAACCGCTGCAGGCCCAGCTCACGCCCTCGTTCCCGTGGGATGTGCACGGCCAGCCTGGCGTTGCTGTCGGCGATTTTGATGGTGATGGCCTAGATGATATTTACGTCACCAACGGGCCAGGCTCGCACAACTCCTTGTTTATTAACCAGCTGAAGCGAACGGGGAAGCTCTCTTTTCGCGATGTCGCGAACAGTGTCGGAGTTGGTGCGCGTACCACAGATGCGACTGGTGTGTGCTACGGCGACCTGAACGGCGATGGGAAGAACGATATTGTTGTTGTGTCTGAGTTTGACCGCAACATCATATTCCTCAGCACCAACACCACGGTCTTCCGCCGTCTGGACTGGGTCCGCGCCACCGGAGACCGCACGAAGAAGCCGTCCTCCGGGTGCGCCATCGGTGACGTCAACAACGACGGCCGCCTAGATATCCTCGTGTCCAACGGCGTCCCGCGGAAGACCGCCGAGGGCTGCCTTGTCGTCGCCTTCGCCATGTCCAGCCCTAATCAGCTCTTCCTCAATATGGGGCCGAGAGGCGCCGTGCCGCTTAAGTTTAAGGACGTGTCGCTCACGTCCGGCATCAACAACTTCGCCACGCCCGACATTCCACGTGGCAAGTACACCATGTCGTGGGCAGCGGCCCTCGTCGACATCAACCTCGACGGGCACCTAGACGTTGTGCTCGCCGACGACCAGTGCGGACTGGCAACCAAGCAGACCGACCCTGCGAACGGCGCCAACCGCGGCTGGATCCACGTACAGTACGGCGATGGCACGGGCAATTTCCGCCCGACAGTACTGTCGCCAAAGAACCCAGCCGCGAACAACCGCGTCGCTGGTGACGACTCGTGGATGGCGCTCGGCTTCGGTGACTTCAATTGCGACGGGAAGGTCGACATCTTCGGCTCCAACGCCGGCGACTACCATGCCGCCATGTTCAACCTGTTCATGGGACGTACGCCGTCCGGCCTCATCGGGCAGTACTCATCGCGATGGTGGCTGGGGACGGGGGATAACAAGTTTGAGGACGCCTCAATTGAGGAGACGGGCGCGACTGTGTTCGGATGGGGTAACGCCGTGTGCGATTACGATAACGACGGCGATCAGGACATTTTCATGGTCGGAGGGCTCGACTTTCCCGCGTTTGGCGGCAGCGATAACCCCAACGTCATTTACAAGAACGAGGGGTGCACCGGGAAGTTTTCGTACGACACGACGTCGTGGGGCGGGAGCGGTCGGTACCGCAACTACCGGGGGCTGGCCATCGGCGATTTTAACATGGACGGATACCCGGACATCGTTGGAGCGTCTGGGTTTGTGGCCAAGGCGCGATCGCTGACAAGGATTATCAACTACTCGTCAGAATTTGACCAGACGGCCTACTTCACGCAGATTCTGCAGCGCAATGAGGAGGCCAAGTGGGTGTGGACGGGCAACTCGCTACTGAAAGGTGACTTGATGGTGGATATAAACCGGGCGACGGATCGCAGCAAGTGCTGGGTGTCGGTTCAGGCGATGGGGACACGCGGGATCTTGGAGGGCGGTAAGGTGAATCGCGGGGGGCTGGGGAGCACGCTGTTCGTGACTGGGAAGGGGATGAAAACGGTGACGACGCCGATCGCCAGCGGAGAGAGTTTTGGTTCGCAGCACAGCCCGCGGCGAAACTTTGGGCTCGGGGCAGCATGCAAAGGGGACGTCGAGATCCTGTGGGCCGGTGGAGGACGGATGAGATTGTACGGCGTGCAGAATCGCGAGCGACTGACGATACCGGAGGTGCCTTGTGATTTTGCAGGAACTTGGGAGACGGAGGAGGCGTATGAGGAGTGCGTCGACAGCAGCGTGCGGGCGCTGGTAGGAGCAGGAGTGCTCAAGCGACGGATGGCGAAAAGGATAGCAGAGAGCGGGCTGAGGGCGAGGAAGGAATTCTTGGCACGGAGGTAGACGAGAAGGGGTTGCGCTGTGTATGTAGATATAGAGGTGAACGCGAGTATTGTACATAAAGATGATGTTTGGCACACAACTGCTGAAGGCGAGAGACTATACTGTACCTGGCATCTCTCGAGTTTAGAGTAACTTGCGCACCATCCCTCATTTCGCCAAAGCTCTCTCACTGGCGCTGTTTTATAACGCGAGATGGATCAACTACATCTTTACCCAAACGTTAGTGTCTATCAATTACCAATGCCGCATCCCGCAAACATGCCCCGCAGCCTCAAAGCCCGGCGCGCAGCGCCACCGCGATGAGCACCTCCTCCACCCTCGTCCCATACCTGGCCGCGAACGCCGTGTACGTTAGCCCCTGGGTCCTCGACAGCAGCCTCATGCCCCGCGCGTACTTGGGACTGTTCACCAACATCCTTTTCTCCACGCACCCCCTCCCCTCGCAGTAGCTCGCCATCCGCATCGCCACGCCCTCGAACCGAACTATGTGCCCTTCCGTAGCGCAGCTACCCTCTGCGTCGCACAGGACCGTCGCCCACGCGTGCTTCGTCCAAGCTAGGGAGGACGCGGGCAGGTGCGTCAGTGCCCGAGCATCGATGCACGTGTTGCCCTCCACATCCCCCGTCTCGGAGCCTGAGCTGGTGGGCGTAGGTGTCACAGTCATCAAATCAGGAGAAGGACCTGGCTCGTCGTCCGCGCTGGAAGCGTCCGGGGAAGCCTCTCCGTCCTCTTCGTCCGTTAGCATGTTCTCTTCCATGTCCTGCGACCCTGACGGCTCCGCGGACACCTCCTCCTCCTTCACGTGCTGGAGGTCCACCGCCTCGATCTCTGGGATCGCCGCTTCTACATCTTCCGACACACAGATTTGCGCCTCGGTCATCTTTGCGCAAACTTCCCGTCCCTCACATTCCTGGCTTGCCTTGCAATTGCGCAGATCCTCCGGCACGCAGAAGCAAGACTCGTTGTCTTTGCACCGCTTCGATGAATCGTCCAGTGCGCTGCTGCACACACGGTCGCCCTCGCACTCCTTCGTATTGCTACAAGGGTACAAAGTGAAGCCGGCGCCAGGGCTGCGCTCCTCCTTCGGCGTCCCTCCCACGGACTCCAAGTCGTCGGCGTAGCTGACGATCACGGTTGACACGCAAGCCGAGTCGGGCACGTTTGGCAGCTTTGTGCATGTCTCTCGCTCGACGCACTCGTCTGCAGCCGTGCAGAAGTCCGGCCCGGTGGCCGGCACGCAGATGCAGTCTTCGCCTTCTTCGCACGGCTGCAGGGAGAGCGCGTCTTCGGAGAGGATGCAAATGCGTTCCCCCTCGCAATGACTTGACAATTCGCACGGTTCACCGCTTACACCTTTGGTTTTCTTGCGCGGCGCGTCCACTGCCGGGGCATCCACTGCCGGTCCGGGCTTCCTTTTAACGGTTTCGTCCAAGTCCACGTCGGAGTCGAGCTTAATCACCCCATCGTTTTTCGCACTCACGGCCGTCACTTCGCGCAACCCAGCCTCGGCGTCGGCCGCGACACAAATTTGCTTGTCGAACACCCGCCCGCAGAGCTCTCCCAGCTCGCACTCAGTGCTCTCTTCGCACGGTTGCGGGCTGTTCTGGAAGCAGTAACAGCGCTGCTCGGCCTCGCAAGGGAGGGCCCCCCCGATACCCATGGTGTACACACAGCTGCGGTCACCCAAGCAGTCAGACGTCGCGGTGCAAGGGAACATGGTAAGACCCCTGGATGGCGATCGCAATTCCTTTAGGCTATTACCCGGAGCAGCATAAGCCGCGATAATGGCGGACACGCAGAAGTTAGACGAGTCGGCCCAAGGCATGGCGACTTCCGGGGGTGGGGCGCAGATTTCGCGCGCTTCGCACTCCGAGGTTGACGCGCATGGCTTGACGATTGGCGGAAAGCAGCGGCAAAGGAAGCCACGGCGGCAAGGCAGGTGAGTGGATGAATCTTCGCGGACGCAGCGGCGGTTGCCGGAGCAGTCGCCCGTGGTGATGCAGGCGTCTGCGGTCATCCCCCGCAGACGGCGCGTGTCCGGCGTGCGGACAATAAAGTTGAAGGTGCGTTCAAGCGGGGAGGCGAGAGAGATGTGGGGATGGAGGAAGAGAGAGAGGAGAAGGAGAGTGGAGAGGTTAAGGAGTGACATGGCGATGCGGGCATGTAGGGGGAGCATGAGGCCGGGGAGGGTGGTGGGGTCAGGGGTGCGAGACAGATGAAAGGTAGGAGATGGTTGGATAGAGGGATAGTCTTCATGTCTTTATACTCGGGAGGGCTTGAAAAGCTTTCAACTCTGAACGCTGAGTTACTTCTCAACTGCGAATGCAACAGTGGAGTTATTGCATGTCAGTCACATAACGGCAGTCGGACGCATGCTGATGCACATCTTTCTTGTTCGAAAATGGCGAGCAGGCACAGTAATGATTCGTCGACTTCGACCGGGGAGTGAGTTTGACTCCCAACCCGCAAGAAGCCGGTGTCGAAAACGGTGTCGAAAACGGCAACAGGGTCTTCAGGAGTATCAACATGAATTTTGTCCGCCACCTGGCCACGATTCACACATGTAATATGCAGATGTGGACTGGTTGAGATCATATCCTCGTACACGTGTGTACTTTTGGTTTATCATCTCTGTCTTTGGCGTTGATCCGAATAAATGACTAAGTAATGTACTTGTACATGTGTACAGATTGTTTCTTGTTATACTTTCAGTCTGCCATCTGCGATAAATTTGAGCCGGCACAACTCTTCTCATGCGCCTGCAACTTAAGTACCGTATACTGTATCCTGTATCCTGCAGGTTCCCTATTTCTTTCCCGAACAAAGCGCCTTCTCTATCTTTCGCTGGAACATTACCTGTTTCTACGCTTCCCTTGAAACAATACTGTGCCAGACGTACCCAGTTCCAGTGTACTTTCTCGGAACTTCATTCATTTACTGTCTGTACTAGCGTGGTTGAGCATGTCGTGCATAAAACAGTCAATAAGAAACAAACAGAATTAAAAGCCTTTTTGAAACTTGTTAAACAGACGGGGGTGAGTGCAGTAGAACTATCAATCGATGTCCATATCATCAAGAGACAATTCAATCCTCGTGTTTCGTAGCATTCGGCAAAAGCGGTCTACAAACATAGTTGTCAACAAACACATCTCCGTTCTCACTATCATTGAGATGTGGAAGCTGTGTCTGTGCACAAAATTGGGGAAGTCCTTGTCGTTGCTGAGGTACTTCAGCCTCTACATCATCTTGCCTTATTTCCGGTCGAGAGTTTACATGACGCGATTCCGAAGTAGGCATTTCTGCAAGAAAGTCTGAAGAATTGCACCCTTCGATGCTGATCTCATGGTCTTTGCACATCTCTTGGTGGTGAGAGTCAGTCTTTTCATTTCTCTCAAAAATGTTCAACGCTTTTGTCACCTCATATTTCTCCTTCTCCGCAAGAGGAATACTTCGGAGATGATTGATATGGTCCTCAACTTCCGAGCACCTTTCGGCATATACAGTAATAGCTTTAGCCAAGTTATCTCTGTTTTCGGGAGAAGTTCGTCTCAGGAGAGTTGTTAATTCCCGAGATATAACCTTTCTGTACAACTTACTTGCCGCCGCTGACCTTCGATTATTTCGCAGCCGTTGATAGTACTTCTCCGCACCAGTTAGAGTTGAGAAGTCTGCTGATGGACTGGCCACTGATTCATGAAAAGATTGACGGGCACATTCGGCTCTTCTCATGATATCTGCTCCCCACCGGAAAGATTGCAGTGATTCCACCTTCTGCAGGTTCCTTTCTGAGCAGAATTTCGATATAAATTTGTCTCGTGACTCCTTGCCGAAAGGATCCCCTACCAACCTTCGTTGATTATTAGTTGAATAGATGATATCCATCCTAGTGGGCGGTCTTGCTGATTCTTCCGTTGTGCGAGAATGGTTACTGAAACTTGTCTCTCCAAGAGGGCACAGATGGTTCGTGCTGAGATTGGCAGTAGATACTCCTTCCGATGCCTCGTAGTCTTGAAATATTATGTACTTGAGCCAGCAATCAAACAAAACAAAGCTATGGTATCTCTAGACAAGACCTGCGCATGAGAAGGAGAAGAGACACCGACATACTTCTTGTATTCTATTATGCACCAACAGTGCCAAGTGAACTGATATTTACACAGGCATTCGACATACTTCTTGTATTCTATTATGCACCAACAGTGCCAAGTGAACTGATATTTACACAGGCATTCAGCAACACAGCCTACAAATCAGTGCAATGCTTTTGCGACACGGAGGGACCTTCTTTTTGAAAACGCTTACAGCCAATTTGACAAAAGGTCCGACCAAGGAAATTACGACGTCTATTAGAAAATTTATGGGCTATTCCGAAATATTTCTTCTTGGAAAATATGTTTTCTATCGATAATATTGCACCTTCATCAGACAACTGTAAGTCGATGATCACATCAACTGCGGTTCAGCGACTTAAAATGAACTTCATCATGGGTAGACTTCTGATTCGGGGAGCTGGGCACACTTTTATTTAACTTTATTCTCAGAAATAATTCAAGAGTTCGCTTTACTTACGTTGCCCTTCACCTACATAATTTCTTTGTACGGACGAATTTCCTTCATGATTTTTGTATATCTAAAATCTGTAATATCTTTTAAGAATCATTCAAACTCTAATTTTCCAGATGTCAAAATAGAGAAAGATTACATGGTATTATATTGTTCAGCAACCAATGGCTGTCTGTCAAATTATTCATCTTTTCCCGTAATGGAGCGCCCGTTGTGAAAGTGCGCACTACGCACATCCGCCACCACATCTTGTGGTTATACCATAACGTGTCAGATATTGTAGGTTACACTTTGGACTTGTTCTGTGGTCAGGGAGTATCTATGAGCGAATTATACAATCCTGCCGGGATTATTTGACGCAATTCCTATCGCTATCATGGTTTGTTCTTAGGTATCCCAGTTTGTCTTCGGTTATCCGTTGTTTATCTCCTTACTTA